AACCACCCACCAACCCTTCATCCCCACTCTCGTCGTTGAAGCTTTTACACGAACGAAACCGCAGAAATTCTCGAACAGATTTTCACTACTCGAGGACCCATTAAACTTCTATGTATCTCTATACGTAAATATATACATGTGTGTGTTGTAGAATCATTCGTGTTATTTCACAATTATTAAATCCTTTGATATTTGGTAAACTTTTCAATTGAAACAATAAAAATGAATGTAATTGTTGGGGTTTTTTTTTTTTTCAAAGGAGATAATGTTTAAATCTCTTTCATGTTTGTAGTTTTAACATGTCAAAAAAACAAAAAGATGTTATTTTAATTTTATTATACTTAAAGATTAGTATAATAATAAATAATAATCATTGGAATTTCAGAATATTATTTTTACATTTCAAGTATCATAGAAATGTTATTTTTCAAAATGATACTTCAATACGATACATACACAATTTATTACAATAAAGAACATAAAATAAATATTTTTCTAGTCCCTAAGGTTAACCCTTTTATTAAGTTTAAGAATATCTTAACATAATGTCAGAAAATGACAAAAGAAGAATTTTCCAGGTGTAATAGGATTTATAAGTTAAAATGGTTTCGTAAAGATTGAAAAAAAGATATGTAAAATAGTATTGTATATCTTAGAAAATTGATTCTTTTTTAAAGGTTTCTAAACATGAATTTTTTTCTAATCTTAAAGTCAATCAATGAATGGGTTAAATATTTTGTATTCATACATTTGTATTTTTTCTTTGTATTATTTTTTGTTTTCCAATGACATTATAAGTTTACAATTCGGATTTAGCTTTTATTTTATTTAAATTTCACTTGGTTTGGATAATCAAAATGAGAAATAAAATATTTGAGTTATTCATTAATTTGTAAAATAAGATTATTTATCATTTATATATTTAATAATATATGTATTTATATAATATTATATTTATATTTTGAATAAGAAAATAGAGATTGTATATTAGCTGTCAATATTATTTATATGATAAAAATATATTTATATATTTATAGAAAAATGATGTATAAATACAAAGTAGTAACCTTTTCTTTTAAATTAATTGCAAAATTTGTATTTAAAAAAAAAAAATATTAAATGTATCAATATAGTAGATAGAAAAAAGAAGAAAAAAAAAGTGTAAACCGAACGGTTCTCAGTTGACGTATCTGAGAAAATGTCAATGGAAAGAATGTAAACGGAAAAGGAAGAATGGATCTTTCTGCGGGAACATTTGGAATGAGAGAAAGGTACCACCAGGTAGAAAGAATGAAACTAAAGAGAAAGAGAGAAAGAGAAAGAGATGCTGTTAAGTTGACGCGTGAATACTAAACACGCAGTATTGGCACAATGAAGAGCGGCGCCCCATGGGGTGAATTGAACCCCGCCTGTTGAGAAGCCCCCTCCCCATGAGTGGGACTCGACGAAAAGTATGAAAGCAACGTCGTCGATCTTTTTCGTCGAAGCTTTTGCGCGTTTCGAGACCAACCGCGATGAGAGTGCATGCTACCAACATGAACAGATCCAAACGTTTCGAATAATAATCGAACTACACTCGCCACCGAGTATTTTCCATCCCTTCCTTATATACCAATTTCTAAAACGTTTCTCGCACCCCCGTGGTTCAACGAACTATAATTTCTGGATCGATTTCGCGTTAGAAAGTTAACGAGGATCAAATCATACTACAGGATCGTCTTACCGATTTTTTGTCTCTTTTTTTTTTGTTTGTTTCGTTATACGCGGATTGGTTCTCACGATTCATTTTTCTTTTGGCGACCTCATCTTTTTAAATTGACAACGCAACTTAAGAAGGGGTGTTAAATATATAATTATTGTTAGGTTTATATTTTTGTAGGATTGAATTCGTTTTTGAAACCTTCTAAACTGTAGAGAAATATTTTTTATTTACAAATTTTATTAAGTATAATAAATTATAAAATATATAAATTATTAATAATAATATTATTTTTAATATAATATAAATATATAAGTATATAAATTATAAATTATAAAAAATATCAAAATTTCCAAAGATGTTAAATAAAATGGTAACTTGTAGCTTTTAATTTTTCACATGCAACGTTAGTAAAGAAAAAAATAATTCAATATTGTTGACAATATTTTGGTAGGATAAGCGTGATCATTGGAACCAGGGGCATTGCAGTAAGACAACGAAGAAGAAGAAGAAGAAGAAGAAGACTCACTTGGTGGATTCATTTTGTCGACATGTTTTTCTGCATTCCAAGCTTGGTTCTCCCTGTAAACACTTGGTTTAATCGTACGAAGGAAATAAAATGATTTCTGCCGAAGGAAAGTAACAAAGGGCTCGCCGAGTCGTAAGGTCCTTACGTTGTCGTCGTCGGGTCAAACCAAAAGATCATCTCGAAGAGAGGATCACCTATGTATCCAAAAACGTCATCGTGCCAACCTCCGAATGTCAGGGAATTTCTTATTGACGCCCCCCCCCCTTCCGCGTACGACACTTTCCGTCTTCGTTGCAACCAAACCGGTTCTTTTTTATGACGGAATATTGCCCTGTCGTTCGTTCCTTTTCAGCGGCTCTCAAACTCGATCTATTCTTTCCGTTTATCATCTTTTTTATCTTCAAACGATTATATGAAATATTGTTTTGATTTTTCTGACTTTTTGTTCGAAAAATATTTCATATTTTGAATGTTTTTTTTCGGTTGATTGTAGATACTACTGTTTTTGCTTTTTTCGTTATAATTATGCATAATCATAAATTGCATGTGAAATAGAAATAAATATATTTAATTGGTGAAAAATCCTGCACTCAAATAACACAATACACATAACTGAGCACAACACATACAACTAATTGAAATTTGATTAATTCGATTATCAAATGAGATAATTAAGATATTAACTAATTTACTGTTAAATATGAATAAGATATTAAATAAAGAATGAAAGGATATTTTAAGAACACGAAACACGCGAGATCGAACTAAGGTACGAGCCAAGTCTTTAGGAGTCCTTCGTAAAAGGAACAAATAAAAGATACGAGACCATGGTCAGCTACCGTTCGTTTGAATCGGCTTCCAAATAAAACAAACACAAATTTTTAAAAAATAAAAAGCAAAGAAAGAGGAGGAACGTAGAAAGTGAAATAAAAGCTTTATAAATATGATTTTGCCATTTTCATTGTCACATTTGAAATAATATTATAATCGCAAGAATAGTAAAATTTCATATAGTTGGATAAATTCATTGCGTACGTGTAATATATTCGAAAGAAAATATGATTTACGAAGTATCTTATCTCAAATGAAATAGATCGATCGAAAAGTGTCATAGTAACATAAGATTGACTTATTTAAGATAATCCTTAAGTTCGAAAGATATATTTCAAAATACATCGTCTATTCTACTAACTGTGAAAACCGTTCTGGTTATTTTTTTAGGTAACAAAAAACTACCTGAAAACTTGTAGTTACTTTCTTAAAAAAATATTAAAAAATAAGAAAGAAAAGAAAAGAAAAGAATAATAATATATAGAAAATATCGGATGCTACGCCAATGGAGGGAATTGCAGTGGAGCCAAGAGGGTCTGTGAGGAAAGAGAAAGAGAGAAAAGAAAGAGAGAGAAAGAGAGAATGAATGACGGTATAAGGTTTAGGGGTGCGAAGGGTAAGAAGAGGGTTCTGTGTGTCGATAGGAGGAGCTTGTTGGTAGAGAATAGTTAGTGGTGGGGGTGATAAGTGGGCCGGCCTTCTTCAAATCGTGTCCGCCCCCACTCCGCTGTAATCCACTGTACTCGGCGTGGCCGTGAATATTGTGCCGATGAGTCGCAAGGCGGCGCTGTATTCGACTGAAAGCGGTCGCTTGTGTGCCGGTTCCCTCACTCCGCGTCGCGGCTTTCACGTCGGAAGACGACGGGCTCTCTCTCAACTTTAGAGACCGTGGTGTTTTAAAACTTTTTAAACGACGTACCAAAACCACAAAAGAGCTTCCCTGAACGAGACCGTATCGACACGAAATGAGATCATTCGTCGTCCTCTCATATTTTTCGCGAGACGAATCGCGTTCGTCCATCGTTGCGTCTATTTCATTTTCCCGTTTATTCGACGAACAGTGAGGATTTATAAGAGTGTGCGTCCAAACTTGTGATATGTAATCGTGTGCGACTACGAAATCATCATCTCTTTTCTACATTGTCATCGTTAATTCATCGTCATCGTTAATTCATCGTCACCGTTAATTCATCGTCATCGTTAAAAAGTGTTAAACCCAAATCTTACTTCGAAAGAGAAATAATTATAAAATAAGAGAAGAAAGAAAGAAAGAGAATTTCTTTTCTTTTCTATCGCAATAAAAAATGGTTTTCAATAAGAAGTCATCGTCATCGTCGTCGTCGTCGTCTTCGTCGTGTTGATATTTATTTCGTTGGTATAGCATAGTATACGTGAAAAAGAAGTGAGAACGATATAACAAGTGGTGCGAACGATCATCAGTGCTTTTATTTCTTTTCTTTTTATCTAGTTTTTATATTTATTACATACGCGAACGTGTGATAATATTCGAAGATATTTTTTCTTTCCATCTATATCTTAAATCTATCTATTTATTTATTTATCTCTTTGTTTTCTTTACTTCTATTTCCCTCTCTATCTCTTTTTCGGTTTGTCGTTAAAAGGCAATAAGGGAAAAAGGGACCGGAGTGCTTTAAGATGTGCCCGTGAGGGCGCTGCTATATTAGCAGCATTCAATTATTTACAATAAAAGTAAACCGAGAATATAATAATAATAATTAAATATAAAAAAATTAATATATAATATGATGATCGATGAAGAGGACGTTTAAAAAGGCGTAAGAAGAAGAAGGGAGGGGGTGGTTAGACAGATAGTTTAGAAGGGTAGAGGGTTGTTGTGTGGTTTCGCGGCGAGAACGAGGAAGCTAGAAAGGAAGAGGAAGAAGAGGACGAGAACGAAGAGGAGAAGGAGGAGGAAGAGGAGGAGAAGGTGGTGGTGGAGGTGGAGGAGGAGTCCAAAGGTGGTAGTAGTGGTGGTGTTGGTGGTGGTGGTGGAAGAAGCAGCAGAGGAGAAGCCGCGTACCGGACGCCATCTCCGCGTTATCGGCAAGCGGATCCCCCGGGACACCCCCCCAAGCAGCTTCGACGTCGCGCACCCTCGCTGGGAATTACCCCGAGACAGAAATCACCCTGATGGGAGTATATGAGGAGCGCGCCCCTCCTACCACCGGCATGCACTGGGTGAGTTTCATCCCCCTTTTTTCTCATTCAACCAACAACTATGGATGATGGAACATTTTTATTTTTTTTTATTTTCTTTCATACGTTTTCTATTCGACATCGTCTTATCCCCTCCCCTTCTAAGCCCTCATCTTTTTTTTATATGTCTTTTTATTCTTCTCGACGAATTTACACGTCTTTTTTCTATTTGATTTCTTATTGGTTAACGACAAAGATATCCGAGTAATTTAGCACCCTTTTCCTTTTATTTCGATCATTATATTCACCCGTATCGTGAGTGTTAAGAGAATCTTTGGTATTTGATTTGATTTTACGTTGGTGGATATGGTTTTTTTTTTATTTAGGATACGTCTTAATGTTTTAATTATCAGGTATGGCAATTAATTTTCTTATACCTTTATCATTTATAGAAATATATTTCTATTGAATACCGGTAATCAAGCATCGTTTTATTAGAATTGTTTTTTGTGATATTACACTAACTACTAGTAATATTCCCTAATAATAGTAATATACCTGGTAAAATTGTTATTTAATTATTTATCAAATAAGAAATTGTTTCGACAATTAAACATCTGTAAAATGAAAATTATAAAACCGTTTTTTGTTATTTTGCATTCGCATAAATTTGCAAACTTGAGTCATGTGATACGAGTAAAGAATATTTCTGAATTTTGAAGTATAGGGGTAAGTTCAAGTCGTGTTAACGTTCGAATCTTTCATCTTTATTGCAATGCAAAGAACAAAAATTCATATTTCCACTAGAAACTCCTAGATAAATTCATAACGAAGTTCGAATGAATGGTTTAATGACAATTGTTTATGGATTTTTCTTAAACTCGTAAGACTACCCTGTTAGACTCCGGTTTTTCCGTTAAAGGTATAAACAGCTCTTACTTTGGTTTATTCTACGTAACACTCTTCGTATTTCTCTCCTTTCGTGGTTAAACCTGTTAACCGGCTTCGTTCTCTATTTTAAAGTGAACGCGCGATTTACTTACAATTTAGTTATTTGTTTCTTAATACAAATACAAATCAAACAATTTAACATAAAAAGAAAAGAAAATAAAAAGGGATTTTGTTTTGCAAAAGGTGACAAATCAAAAAGAAAACAACACACTGTATAATGATTTTGATATCTAATGACGTTGAATGTTAAAATTTATAAATATATAAAATAAATGTACATATAAAATTTATATATATATATATATATATATATATATATATATATAATATAAAAAAGAAAATAAATAGAAATTAATAGAAATACAAAATCAAATAAATAAATAAAATATACAAAAAAGGAAATGGAATATTCCTAATACTTTTGACTCCGTCATTAAGTATATATATAGATATATATGTATATATATATCGTCGAATTCAAAGTGTTGTGTTCATGGATGAATCCAAGGCTTATCGGCAATGTAACGCCCGGTGATATATTCCCTGAGTGAACATGGCAAACGGGTTTCTCGGTTTCTTTTCTCGCGTCGTTGTAGATTGCGCGTCTTGTCGAGATTGGGAAGACGGGGAGTGGGAAGAAAGAAAAAAAAAAAAAACAAAAAATAAAAAGAATCAGGAAGAAAAAAGTAAGTAAATGATTAAAAAAAAAAAAAGAAAAATTCAGAAGAACATGACGAAAGGAAAGAGAAGGTGTTGGAAATGGGGTGCCATTTTATTCTATCGATTTTAGTCGAATCGAATGTATTCATTTTCATATTTTAAATGAACATTTATTTTTATTATTCTCGTCAAAGTTTAGGATAACATTTGGAAATACATATTTTAATTTGTAATAGAATTTAAATGTTATGTGAATTACATGAATACAATTAGATTTGTAAATAGTTTTAATTTATAAAAAAAAAAATATATACGTATATATATATATGCATTTAATTACATAGAAATAGGTATAAATAATATTAGAATTAAACTAAATACAAAACAACAAGTAGTATTTAATAGAGAAAAAAAACGATGACAGACACAAAGTTAAAAAGAAATACAGAAAACGAGAAGCAAAAACAAAAAATGGGAGATTGCGAAATGGACGACGACGACGGACGGTACGAAGTTCGGATCCGCCGGCAAGGTCAGAATTATACGTCGGGAATATCGTGACAAGCTCTGTAGTCCCTATCGTCATCAGCGAGATGTTCTTCTTCCTTCCTACGCTTCTTAGGTTTGCGCTTCAATGCGTTCCTCTTATTCGAACTCGTTTCGAATTCAAATCACCAAAGCTCAATGAACTCAAACTTCTCACACACGCGATTTTCTTTAACGATCATCGTCATTTCTTAACATCATCATTCGTCCAAATAATACTTTAACCAATGGTGTCAAACTCTCAATACATAAATCCCTAAACTACAAGATGATATTTCAAAAACATCGATGTGCCTTTTTTTTTGTTTTTTGCATGCTTAAAGTTTGCTTAGAAAAATGTGTTTCAATTTAAATTACAATTCTATAATACACATATATTTATGTGTGTTTATAGTTGAATTATTTTCCTATTGCTAGTCTTAATAGCTTAATTATATATATATATATATATATTTGTATAAATATATATAGATATGTGGATATAATATTCAAGAACCACCACATGTGGTTGAAATTCAAATTTCATCAATTAATTTAGGAAACCATAATATGTACAAATTGTATCTACATGTTTACACGTGCGTTAGTATTGTAGCAGTATATGAATTTGATATTATCGTTTTACATCCTTAGTATATTTATATATGAAACCAATCTTTATCTTATTGTTAGATTAAAGAAATGGAAAGAGAGAGAGAGAGAAAGAGAAAGAGAAGAGAGACCGGGTCATTCGTACAAATCGAACATCGAATGCCGAAGGATCGACTTTCGTTAATTGGCCGTACGTGGAACGTATATACGTACAGCTTGTAAACAAGCGTAATCGATTGTAGAGTGTCAGTCGTTAATCGAGTTGCATCGTTCCTTGTGATATTTTCCTGAAGTTCGACGAATGAAAGTATTCTTCGTAAGGTTGGGTGCATCGACCTTCGAATTCGTACAATACAAATTAACTTAACTAAAATTCAATCAAAACTATCACTTCAAATGATTACTTAAAATAATACAAAATTTATTTCATTTCAATATTTTATTTTTAACACATACATGCAGATGAATATCCTCTTTACTCCTAATTACCAAAAAATATGAGTAAAAGTTTATGTAATGTATTTTCTGAACAACTAATTCAAACTTAATTGTAAAATATAATATTTGAAATTGTTATTTATAACAATTATACAAATTATAAATCTTCAATTCATTGCTAAAATAAAAATTTCGTTCGTCTTCTAAGTTAAAACAAAAATGAAACGAACAAAAATAGAAAAATAATCCCAAAATTGTTGTGGTTTCCTAACACACAAAATAAAAATACACTCCATGATAAGACCCCCTTAAAAATTATAAAAGTTAATAACATAATTGTTGGTAGAGATAATTTTAAAAATTTACACCAATGATATCGAGTTTGAATTTTTATCGATAAAGATAAACAAAATTTGAAAAATTTAGGTTGACCAAAAATGGTCAACAAGCATTTGCAAAAAGCATCAACAAAATTATATGAAATTGTTTCTTTATCATTCATCGCCAAAAGATAATATTGAAAGAAAAATTATTAAGGATAAGATGAGGAGGTCGAGGTTGATTTTAACTTTTGGATATATTCATGGGGTATCGTTCAAACATATCCACACATACATACATACATTCGAGTCCGTTTTATTATAGCCCTGTCTCCAGACGAAATTAATTATCTACGAGGCGCAGAACCGGTAGAAAGGTTCCGTCACCCTTTTCGGCCTTCTCAAAGGTACGTTCGTCGATAAAAAGAATCACGTTCGTTTCTTTTTCATTTGATTCCTTTTTTTTTTCATCTTCATTTTCATCTTCATCTTAATTTTCTTCATTCGTTCGTATTCACAAACCACCTTTCGGCAAAATCTTTAAACGAATTATCGAATGGAAAATACGACGATGGTGATGATGGTTGGTTGGTTGTACAGTTTTACTATGACGTCCGACGGACGGATGAAAAGTATGCAAAAAAGGGCTGATGGTTGAAGTTGAAACATTTTTACTTTCATTCGAATAGAATTATTTTTAATATTTTATCTATAAGCTCCTGTATCATTGTATTTGCATATCGATTATTCTCAAAGATCTCAAAGAATCATTAAACGTATCGAAAGAAGAAGAAGAAAAAAAAAACCCAGATAAAAATGACGAAAATATTGATAAGAATCGCGTGGTGATGATTAATAAATTATCTATCTTTATTTTTGTTTTTCTTTTTTTTTTTTCTTTTTTGATATTACTTTAAGAATGATCATTTATTTGATAAGTTTTTTCAAATATTTATTATTATTAGAATACTTTTCAAATAGAAGTAATAGTAATAGTAAACAAAAAAAAAGAAAAATCAAGAAGAACAAGATTAAGTTAACGAAGAAGAAGAAATAAAATAAAATAAAATAAAATAAAAAGATACCACCAAACGATTGAGATAAGAAAACTTGACCTCGTGTAGTCTTCTTACATCCGGCATAATGATGTCGAACGATTTATAAAAATAACTATATCGATGTCAGTGATTTTTGGTAACTTCCAATTAAATAATCGCACGCTTGTATATAGTTATATTGGCATAAGGGAATTTATCCCCCAAAAGCGATTGGAAAATTTCGTTGAATACACGCAAAGCACATATTATAAATGATAAAGTGATTATTGTATAGTAAACCGACGAGATAAGGACATCTTTCTCTTATTTTTATTTCTTTTTTTTTTCATTTTCTTCTTTTTTTTTTCCTTTCCCTCCCTGTACCGACAGCGTGTCTGCCAGTGATAGCACAGAGTCCACCGAGTTTGTTTCAACCATAATTTATTACTCCTAGTTTTCTGTGTTTCTCATGTCTTTAACATACGATTGCTCATCCAAC